GCTCAGCCGCCGACACGCAGCGCGACATGCACCGGGCGTTGCGTATCGCGGATGTGGCCAGCTTTCAACAAATTTCATGGCCAATCAAATCAGTTGTCATATGCCTACAAATTTACAAGCCTGTTTTTATCAAAACATTGTAGTCTTTCGCATCTTTATTTACCGCGAAGAAAAGCAAGAAATCCAAAGCTAATTCTAAAGATTAAAATATCTATGAATTTTAGATACGTACCATTAACCATACCATCGACACAGAAAAAGTTGAAAACTGGCAAACTCGGAAAATAGTTACTACAACATTCCGTCTTCAACCTGGACTATTCGAATCGTGAAAAGCGGCAACAGCAACAGGGAATGGCAAGCTGATAAATCCTAGAACTCGAAAAATAGTCATTCGATGGCGCGAAACGTCTTACAACTAAATTCATGTATCTGGATCCTGAACGGGCAACAGGCCCTGACCTTGCCTCAGCCACCGACGTAGACCAAGTAGGGCTAGGACGAAAATGAGGAGCTGAAAATCTAACTGATGCTTCTGGGCGAAAACTCGGGAAGAAGATTTAACGGAACCTACGACAAAGGGTACCGTCTCATCAAATACGGTAGCGCATACGTAGAGCATCAGATAGGCACAAAGTCTTGCCAATAACGGAAATACCTGAAAATTCTCGGTAAAGTTTGGTTCCTAATTTGCTAAATGCCTGGTCCGTTTTTAAGAGGAATTTTCTAAGAACTGGCTATTCTATTCTTACAAAAATTCCGACTACAACGAATTGCACCTGGGTTGGGCTTTTCGGTCTTTTTTTATGTACAGGCAACAGCCCAAAATCTCAGCCTCCGACGTAAAAGCAAAGTTTCTAGACAAACCGGAATAGTTGAATAGGATAAATTCTCATCAGGCTTGGCTTCTGCGTGGTCGATGGGATACATTGAGCAAAAGCGCTAACTTGGATCTGGCTCTGAGACATCCATCCCTATTGGCCCACAGCGACGCGGGCTGAACAACCGAAAATACCGCCCCTAAAGCGATTTTTAGCCAGAAACCGAAAGCCCAAATTTGTTCAGCCACCAAAAGGCGCCTCTTTCCGCATGATTGTCAGTTAATGTCATCTCTAGCCAAGTACCATCACCTTCCATCGCGAAGTGAGTTCAAAACGAAGTAAAGTTGCTGGAAGTTTACTCCGCTTCCGAATTTCCGAAAAAATTCTACGTGAACGCCTAGCTATTTAAAAGGAAACAGACAAAAAACTTTCTAAGAATCTCAAAATTTTGGAACGTTTCCCTTGCTGTGCCTGGTCAAGTTATTAGAAGTTAATAGACAATCGTCGTCCTGACATTGCTGCTTTATAAAAAAAATCGAATCGATGTCCGAACATGGCAATCAACTGGAAATGTTTGAACAGCAGAACACGGGCAGTATACCTCGCTAGGCTCTGGCGAAACCATGCATGCTTTTGGAAGGCTGATTTTTCGTTTATTTATTTTGCACTGAACGCGATGTCTGATACCTCATTGCCCTACGCTGTAGCATTTATTTACACTTATTAGCAGCATTTATTAATTATTACAATTGTGAAGCGGGTCGTTCACAATTTCGATTTTGTCGGCACCGATCCGGCTGATTCAGCAAAGTCCGCACGTCTTCTTGCACTTGATGGGCTTAAATTCTGATGTTTTTTAAAAAAATAAAAACTTTTTGGGGTCTGGTGTGGAAAAATACATATTAAAAAACAGACCATGATCAGGCTGTAGTTTGCGTTTTTGCAGAGTCCCTTATTTGTGGCACAGGTGGCCAGCACATCGGCGCATCCGGACACGGTAGTCGCTGCGTTAGCTCCTATAATATAAGGTTATCTTAAAGCCTTCTTAAAATCTCAAATAATAACTATAAGAGGGCTCCAGAAAGGCAACCCGGCGCCCGTTGGCTAACAAACCGACGGGGCGCTACTACAGACGCTTTCCATGGTGCAAGCGCGCCCAAAACCGCGACTAGGTTTCAAGAAAAACGATAACTTTTTTATTTCGCGTGATTTTAAGCCAAATATTTCCGACCATATAGTTTTTGCTCATCCCGTTCGATGGTAAAAATTTGAACCTGAATGCGTAAAAGGCTGCCAAAAGCAGAGAGGTCCGGGTTTTGGGTCTGATCGACCTCGAGTCCGATGCCTGCGTCATCCCTTTGCGCTTTTACCGATTATGCCTTTATGGAACTCTTTAAAACTTTTAATCAATAAAAGGAGAGGAGATAAAGAGAACGTTATTCCTGTAAGCATCCAGCCAGTCCCAGGGTTTTCCAAGATCTTACCTATCGGGCGGTTTCCACACTGCTTGCACGTCACCGGGCATTGTGTTGCCATCAAGGACCTAAACTTTTCATGGCTTTAGAAACAGTGGCGTCTTCAGATAGCGAGAACACAACCCCTCAGCGCTCAAAGTTGGTTCGTCAACGTTGCAAAAAATGTACCTGTACTCGGTAAGGTTGCTGGTGCAAAGCGCGGATTGGCTGGTGCAGTAGGTTGCCTGGTCTTGGCAGAGGCCCTAGAAATAGCGCATTGAATAAAGGAGTGTTGTCCGCTGAGATTCACATCTCATGGAACCTACCAAGGTTGTTGCCGCCTTCGTGGTGGGTTTGGCCGTCGTAGGTTTGGCGGTGGTTTCCGGCATCGGGCCTAAAAAAGCTTCCGCTCTCTATCCAAGGTTTTCCATTTTTGGACTTTCAGTATGGTTGAGAACCTACAGCAATAAAGCGACCCATCCTCCACAGTCTCACAGCCAAGCGATGGATCCTGGAGACATTTTTTGGACGCGGTGTCACACACTAAAAGGTATGGAACGATAGAAATGGCTGATTTGGAATATTTGGCATCATGTGTATGGCGAAACCAAACCCTAAAAAACCTACAGACAAGCCCGGGGAATCCGGAGGTCGGGCATGTTTGCGCGAGAACGAATTCGACGTGGATCGCCAACACGTACGCGACAGCGATCGCGATGAAGGTGCGGAGGTGACTGCAAATGTAGTGAATGTTGCAGATTGCGAAAGTATTCGTGTTTGTCTTAGGAAACGACGAATTCCGTATTTTCGAGTAGCTTACTGCGGGACGGACCGACACATCGTTTTATGTTCATTACGCACATCGGGTCAAATCGTTTTCGCTCCTAGTTTTTTAAGCGATCAACTAGTAGCAAAAGGTTGTTACAGTGTAGCGTTCTAAAATACGTAGTAGGTGTCACAAGAATCGAAAGCATCGGTAACGTTACAGGAAAAAGCAAACGGAACTGATTGTGAAAAGAGAAATACGTTCACTCAGGCTGGCAGACATTAAGCGGCTGAAATGTTTTCATAATAAGCCTAATACTGCCAAATATTTTTACTGCATACAAGTCAGAAAATCAAATCAATTGAAATCGTTCATGTTTTTTGATACTCCAAAACCAACCTCATGGCGTAGGAGGCCCGTTCGAAATCCAACGCATCAAATATCCCCCTCCCCGGTCGGCGTGGCTTATATTGAAACCGCAGGCAATTTTTTCGCGGCGACAACCAGTTGGCAACGTGCGGAAGGCCGATATTTATGGAACACGCTGTATTTAGGCAGCCGACACGACAGGACGGGGAGGAGGGGCAAGGGGCCCTCGTGGCCCGACATGGTTTGTGAACAGAAATGAGGGCTGAACATTGACACATTCGACTTCGATTTTGTCTACATTCAGGCGATGGGAACGCTTGCAGAAACTACACGCGACTTCCGGCTGTGAAAGCTGACATTAAGGACCACACGCATTTTTGAAAGCATATCATAACTTCTCAGGTTACCCTTTTATTTTTTATGAAACATAGCGTTTTATTTATTTCTGGCTATTATGAAATTTTTGCGAATTTTCAGGATATTTTGTGGCTTTGCTGGCTTTTGGAAGTTCGCGCTTTTTTCCCATAGGATCCGCTGTTCACGCTATCAAGTGCCCCTGTGACTGTATGGTCGCGCATCACGTGCTGCGGCGCGGTGTCCCCGCGAGAAGTACCATTTGGATTGGTTTGGTATTTCGAGATTTAATTTATTTCCCTTCTTGCTTCATGATAGTCTTTAAATAAAAAGTTTTGTAACTGTTCGTCCTCATTGCTAAAACACAGCCATTTTCGAGACCTTGTCTCAACCTGATCATCATCAGTTTGTGTGGCGATGATGCCGTCTTCTTTGTTTTCTCGGTTTCGCCGTCTCCAGATCCCAACAAGTGTGCCTTGGTTTCCGGTTTTCGAGGCAAGAATTGGCAAATTTCTTGGCTCAGACAATATAAACTTTAAGTCAACTTTTTTAGATACAGAATTCGGTTCTTGATGCTTGGACTACAATTTCGAGGGCGGTCACATATCTTGCTCAGGGCGTGCAGTGCGCTGTTCTTCTACAAATCCTTGAATGACCGTACGTTTATTCCGGAATTGGCGCCTAATCGGCAATGAGATCCGGAGACGGAGAGCAGGGAGAGCGCTCAGCAGAGATTGCACGACTTCTTACACATCTGCACCTGGCTGGCGTAGAAGGAGCTCGTGCAGAAGCCGTTCTTCGTCCAGGTTGGGCAGCTGAAAGATCCAGATATTGTTTATGCACTTCTATTACTCTTGCGCTCAAGGAAACGGCATAGTAAAAGTGTTTGCGTTGGTTTTGATGAAACTTACTTGGCGCTATCGTCGCTGCATCCGGTGACAACACCGCCGCCGCCACCGCCTCCAGCGCAAGCCGGCTGCAGGTTGCAAGACTTGGCGCAGTACTGCCCCTTTTGGAGCGTCGTGTAGACGTTGCTGTTACAGAATCCGTTCTTCGTCCAGGTCGCACAGCTGGAACGTGGTTAGAATAGAACGTTTACTTACTTTGTGTTAGAATCGACACAGCTTCCGGTGTACTCGCTGGACGCGGTGGTCGATCCGGTGGCGGCCGTGCTGCCCGTCGCCTCGGATGAGGCAGCGGTGGTCAACATTGTCGTCGTGGGCGGCTATAACGATCGGTTCATCGAGTATTACCGATTTCTTTGCTTCTTCGAGTTATAAAGTATTCCAGTATTCGAGTATTTGAGTATTATTGTATTAAAGATAACTCTCGGTTTTGCTATTTTTTTCATACCGCGTAGCAGGCATCGCTCTGTCCGTCGTTATAGCACTTCTCTCCATCGGTGGTACAGTTGGCCGGGTCGGTGGTCTTGTCAGGGGCGTTGGCTATAAAAAAATACTGCAGCTGCTCTTTGATCTACGCCTTAGATAATGAAATGGATTATTTTAGAAGTTTTGGCTCACAATAAAAGAAAGTGGATTCTTGTGGGCTGCAACTTAATGAGATCGTAATTAGGCCCTATTTGAGGCAGCCGTAGGACCCTCCCGTTTGTCAGGTTAAAAAACTTTTGCTTTCTTTTCGCCTAAGTTTATGTTAGTAAACAAATCGCACTTACCTGTCTTTACCAGTCCGGCTGCGGTGTCCAGCTTAGCGCATGCTGCCGCCTAGAAATTATTTTTGTAAGCGCAGTCGTTTAAAGCATCTTTCGTGGTTTATGGCGAATTTAACTAAAACCGAGAAGCTCCCAGTTTATCACCAACTCCACCCTCAAGAAAATACAGCTTAACCGAATATTTCTTTGATTTCAATTGCAAAATTAACCCACAGGGTAGCACTTGCCAACGTTGCTGGCGCTGTAACAGAATTCCCCGACGGTGGTGCACTTTGGCGGATCCTGGTTGACGTCCGGGCTATCTAAAATGCGTTGCATCAGCCTTCTTGATGGGGTACGGATGAAAACAACAGTCCGACAAAAAGTTCTCACTGGCGGTGGCGGTGCGGGTGCTATTTGGCTGCGATAGGATGTCAGGACAAGCGGTCGCGTCGACCTGGAAAAATAAAATATGCGCACGATAGCGAGACATTAGAAATTGACATAACCTATATTTTTAAGTATATCATTAAAGGCCTCTAGAACGATGGTTTTCGCGGAAAAGCAAAAGACGTTTGCATCGGGCTGCGTCGACCCGCACCGTGAGAATGACAGCCCAGCGCGCTATCCACCTACTCGCTCACCAACTGGGAGGGGGCGGCCGGAGAGGGTTGACCTGCCCGAGCACCCCCTTTCCCCGCGCGGCGCTCCTATGTACGCCGCAGTGTCCGCGCTCTGCAGCCAGCCGCAACCCCTGCGGCTGAGTACCCCAGCGTCCCCGAGGCCTTTAAATTCACAGCTTGAATCCTTACTGACCTGATGGATGGCGAGGCCGCAAGCGGCGATGAGGAGGACAGCTCGGTACATCTTGGTTCTGCTGGGCTGTGGTGCCGAATTGAATATTGTCTCCTGGCTTCAGTGCCCTTTTATACAGAAATCATGCGCCTCCGGAACAGCTGAGACGACGGGCGGACGGCGAAAAAAGGCGAAAATCTCGCTGGATCGGCACCGTTCCAACCGGGCGCTGCTGTGTCAATTTTCGAACTGCCGGTTTCCAGCGTACCATCGGAATTCGCATCGCTACGCCCCGTTGTTTGAATGTCAAAATTCCGCAGCTCGCCCGGATTTTCGCGGCTCTATTTGCGCCATGGGCCATTGTCAATGGTGGTACGGGTTTTTGAGAATTATGAATAGCCTTTGTTCTCGACGATTTGCTACGATCCGTACTTTCAGGATCGAGAGCTTAATTTTAGAGGTATATTTCTTTGAATCGTATGAGCCTGACCGTAGGGATAGCTTGTCCTTGCGAATTTGCGCTATTACGGAGTGAAATCCTTTTTTGATTCCTTTAACGTATCTGTCAGCAAAAATGTTTCTGCTTCTTTTAAACCCCATACGAAAACACTCAAAAACCTTATTCTAGAAAGACCTTATTTCCGCGCCTCGTGATCTAAAGCCGCATCGCAACCTCATCTCGGCTGCCCCAACCTCATTTTACAAAACGACCGAAGCGCACCTACTATTTTGCTAGAGATCAGCAGCAGGCGAGAAGCCCAGTTTTTTGTTTCTTCAAAATTTCGCGCCAGCGCCCCGCGAGCATCAGCTGTACAAACTCCTCCGAATTCCGCGCCCGTTCCGCCGCCTGGCTGCCTCTTTTCCCTGGGATTTCGCCTTGCACCGTTCACCGTGTCATACGGTGGCCAAGAAATTTGGGCGATATTGGAAAGTGTTAGGTTTTCCGTAATATTTTCTTTTTCGTAAAGCCGGTATTAGGTTTATCTAAACGCTTTGCGACTGTTAGTGTCTGTCATTCTCATATTTGTGCCCGGTCTTTGTACATATCACTGTTTTCAAATACTTTTACTTCAAGCTGCGCGCTCTGCCGACACGACCGACAATTGCAAATTTTCCGGACAGCCCTCAAAGGCCGTGGCCATCCTTTCAAATGCAAGAGACCCCCAGATTCGATGTGTTCTACCCGTGGGCTTTCCAATATTTCTAAAATTCGTTTCTAGAATCCGCGTACCGGCTCTGGCAGATTCGTTATCTGACTGGTTCTCACGGGATGCATATTTTTATCATTCGCGGTCAAGTCCATCGTGTTCCGAGGCTTGCTCCACTACCAATAACTTATCAGAAATAGCTCAACGCGAGGTTGGGCGTTTTTTGCTTGCAAAACAGTTTTACATACATTTCGTAACAGTGGCGGCCCTATAGCTAACTATTACAGAACGCTATCTGTGTAGTCTGCGGACTTCAGGCCAATGGGATACATTACGGCCGCAGGACGTGCGAGGGATGCAAGAGCTTCTTCAAGGTATTTCAAGGAGTGCCAGACGTAAAAGTCAATTTAGCGTGCCGTGCAAACCGACGCGTCCGCCCATCTAGTTTGCAAAAAGAATGGGCAATGTGCAGTTATCAGCAGGTCGGTTTAGCTTCGTCGCCGAGAAAGCAGCAATTGCTCTTACAGTCAGCGATCCTACTGTAGGCGATGTCGATGGGATAAATGCGTCGAGGCCGGGCTGCAGGAAGATGGTAAGACAAACACAATCCTCGCGAAGAAACGACAACTTTCATTTTGAAAGTGTATTTTAGCAGTTCGCCGTGGCAATATGGCCGGACGTGCCGGACGTCCGAAACGAAAACAGCAATAATCTTTTTGACAGGTTAAATAGTTCTCAAAGCTACTGAATTGTGTTACCCGAATTCGCGTTAGATGTCGGAACACGTTGGCGCTGTCATTTCCGGAAGGGTCAGTGTCGTATGGGTATTGGAGCATACAAATGTTGAACTCATGGAACTCGCTCACTAATCCGACCGTATGGGGCATGTGGCTATGAATAGTTTTTCCGCAATGCATTAGAGGGAATCCCAGTCATCTTTCCTAAAAGTCATCTTTCCTAAAAGTCATCTTTCCTAAAAGTCATCTTTCCTAAAAGTCATTTTTCCTAAAAGTCATTCTTCCTAAAAGTCATCTTTCCTAAAAGTCATCTTTCCTAAAAGTCATCTTTCCTAAAAGTCATCTTTCCTAAAAGTCATTTTTCCTAAAACTAGGTAATCGTTTACTATAATTTTTCCTCAATCACTTTTAAAAAAAAACCTTTTTTCCGAATTTTAATTGTTCCTGAAGTTAGGTAGGCGAATAGGGAAATATTGATTTTTAGGAAAAATGACTTTTAGGAAAGATGACTTTAGGAAAGATGACTAAGATGACTAAAACCCCATTAGAGGCTACCGTAAGCTCTCTCCAATCAGCACCGGCATGCCGTGGCAAATTTTTCGAACGGTGGCCGCGATGTTTGCATAGATGGCAGCGGAGGGAAGGAGCTTTCGAAAACTGCGTAGGAAAGTGTTTGACCGCGCAAAATCCTATTTTCCGAGATAAACAGCGAAAACTTCGAATCAAAAGCCATGGATTAGTGCCTGACGTGTAGATTAAGCGTTATTGACTCGACTGTCCATGTCGTGCCAGGATCTGTGATACTTTCGTGGGAGAGAACTATGTTGTTTTTCTTATTAAAGTGCTGAGAAAGATTTATTAACACTTGCATCCCAATCGCTCGAACTCATTAAACGAAATACCACGGCACGGTAAGACGATTTGGATCGACATATCCGTTGCCGATGCAGAAGAGGCCGTGCTGTCCGTTAGTGGTCCTTCCCTCCTCACAGTGGGTATTCTGCGGGCAAGCGCCAGTTGAGGGATCGGCTTCTAGAAAATATATAGAAAGCCTTACTGAAATCCAAAATCCACAAAAATCTACAGGATCCAAAATTCTCACCCGCGATGACGGAAGCGGGGGTCATCGGCCAGAAGACACGAACGCAGTCTCTGGACGGGGCCTAAAATACGAAACGAGCTTCGAACTCTCGGTAAAGAAAAGGGAAAACGTAAAATGATGTCAGCCAAAACATACTTGGGTATGCGGCTGATCGGTGGTGGTGGTGGTGGTAGTGGTGGAGGTGCGGTACTAAAATCAATTTGGTACTGTGCTGTTAGCGGGGAGACTAATTTTTCTTTTTCCTTCTATACCTGCCTGTTAAATCATGTATTTCTATAATATTTTTAGTAGTTTGGGATGGCCAGCAAGCTGCAAAAATTATTTATGAAAATCGATGATTGCGTAGCCAAGCCACAAAGCTGAAAATGTTCAAAATTCTCGAAAATTTTGATGAGCTTTCTATACTTAAAGATTGTTTCAAATTCTATAAAAATTGTCCTTACTTTGTTACCGAAGGACTGAAAGAAATTAGTTGCAATCCCCCCTCCCCTGCTAATAACGGTACCATCGAGTTTATAAGATATATAGATATATTCCACGGACATGTGTTCTTAGGTGAAAACCTTAAAGGGATGCCGACGGCATAGTCAACCGGTTACGCGCTGGAAAGAAATTGTCTCTGCGCCTCTCCCCAGGGCGAGCTCTCTCCCCTGTTGGCTACTTGCCAATTTGTTGGTGGGGGGGGGGGGATCGACACATGCCGTCGGCAGCCCTTTAAGCACGATACCGTATAGCAATTATCCTTGATCCCGTCGTTGAAGCACAACTCCTCGCTGCTAGCGCAATATGCGGGATCGGTGGTGGTGATGGGTGAACCTACAGGGTGGCTAGAAAGTATTTGCCGCGCTTTCGCGCTAGTTTTATTCTGCAAAAATTCCAACGACAGGTGCATTAACGGCTTGCATTCGGAAGAGAATTTTTGCTCTATCGATTGATATATAAAAACAAGCAAATGCTTGCTCGTATAATTTTAATTAGACTGAAATACATAAAACCTCGTTTTTTGTATTGGTTTTCGGCACTTTCGAAAGCCTCGAAAATTTTCTTAGGGGATATCTTATTCTTTTCCGGTGCTGTATCGTAGAAACCATTAACGAAACTATCTAAAAAAATTATGCTCGGGGCACCGCGAGACTTAGATGGATCACGGAAGTGAAAGTAAAATTTTGCTAGTGGGGTGCGCCGAGATTCGTGGCTGGCAACCATCTGCCGCACAAAAATGGATTTTAAAAATCATTAATTCGAAAGTTTGCCCTAAATTTACTATCAAAATATAGATAATGCATAAGCCTACCAGGCTGACACTTTGACTAGGACCAAAATAATTGAAAACGCCGGCGTCAAGCATTTGAAGATCGTTCGAAACCAACGGCAAGAAAGTGCAACTTATTATTATTTTGTGCCCGCAATAATTTTAGTTACGGCTGTCCAATGAGTTTTTCCTATCCACGCGGTTGGTTTTATTGCGTCCACAAAAGAAATAATGTTTTCCGCATAAAAACGTGGTTGTTTAAGACATTTTGTATTTGTGCTCCAAAAACACCTTGTTCCGCTCATTTTAGGCGTTCAAGAAAATAGCGAAAAGCTTTTCGATACGGCTAAAACGAATTTTTCCGGATAATACGTCCAATAAAGGGCCTTGCAATAAACAAAAATCCAACTTTCTGTTCTGATTGGTTGCAAGCAAAAATTGAAAAGATTAACACTAAAGTCAAAATACGTGCGGTGCAGGCCCATGTTTGGGTACACCTCTAAAGGACCGTATCTTAAAAATCTGAGGTCTAGGGTCTTAGTCTTTTTGATAGTCGTAAAGAGGGTCTGTTTGCTACATTTTGGTTATAAAATGGCAAAGAAGCCGGACACGGAGAATTTCTTAAGGAGCTTTCCCTGCGGCAAATACTTTCTAGCCACCCTGTATGATAAAAATTAAGATAAACCAGGGTTGAAAAGCCGCTTCGCGACTTTTCAGCCCTGGCCCCGTCTGATCCGATGATATTCTGCACTTTGCATATTTTTCACGAATGACCCATGCCGAAAAATGAAAAACATCCCCTTCTGTCCCTTTATATAGGCTTTCGTCACTTCCGGCGCATGCAAATTGTTTCCTAACAAAGAGGGAGACCCGGATTTTCATAAAAACTTAATTTTAATGTCGAAAATGGCACTTTTTGTAAAATCTGATATGTGTGCAGTCGTGTCATGACCATTACGCACCTTTTGGCGTATCAAACATACCCTTAACTTCCTCTCCCATCGAGATACGACTGGAACATAATGACGGAAGTTGCATGCAAAGTGGCACACACACACACACAAACACTATTTTTTTATATATAGTAAGATAAGGGTGATTAAAAAACTTACTAGCTGTTTTCAACATCGACGAGTCGAGCGTGAACCTCGGGCAGCGGGCAGCCTGTTAATTTAGCCCGATTTAGCTCCGATTTTCAAAACACCGTAAATTTTTTTACAATCGCTAATATTTTTGCGAAATGTACAATTTTGCGAAATGGATAACATGCGAATTTATGAATTTTCACGTTTTTGCGATAACGCACCGACAATTTTTGAAAGCTATTTAAGGAAAGAAAGCTAAACGGGCGCTTCACTGGGTAAATAGAGCGTTTTGAAAAAACGTTGGAATGAAAAATGGCGAAGGCCAAATAAAAAACTCCAGAAGTTCGAAAATCGGAAAAATATATCTCTTCAGCTCATCGAGAGCTTTCGATAGATCACTGAATCGTAAGAATTGGACACGACTGTGGCCCGCTAGGTAGCAGGATTTGGTACACCCCCGTATATTTCGTAGGTTTTTTGAACGTCACCAACCTCATAACAGAAGCTCAAGGAGGTAGCGTCCTGGTAGCAGAATTGCCCGTTTGGGCAGGTCGGCGGGTCAGTGTTCGTGTCCGGCGAGGCTAAATTTTAATAAAGCCACATAGGGAGGCAGTGGGAATTCAATAAGAAGTACTATAACATTCATGGCATCCTGACAAAAGCCATAATTGATTTGCCGACACTGTGAATTTTGACCTCATCATTTTCGACATTTTGACGATAACCCGCTGTGAACCTCTATGTAAACTGGACCTACATGACGTCCTGTTCCGGTTCGGATCCTCGAGCAGCGGGCAAGCCGTGGCCGAAACCTGAAAAATCAAGGTATAAATTGTAAGCACGAAGGCCTAAATTGTGAAACAGGATTAGATTAAAATGCGAAAGTAACGCTTCTAAACTTCAATTCAATTTTTGCCTAAATTGACCTGATGGGCGAAGGCGATTAGCCCGAAGAGCACGAGGAATAGCTTCATCTTGACAAACCTCCCAAGCTGGCGAAGTTGATACCTCGACCCTCAGATCCACACCTTTTATGCCGACATTCCGAACCGTTGATCTGCTGAGCAAATAGGGATCGACACCCACGGGGTGGCACCTTGCTAAAAAGAAGCGAATTTGAAGGTCGAAGCGGGTGAGGAATTTGAAGTACGCCGGAGGCTTAAATGTCAGTGTTCGGCATCGGGGTCAGGAATTTGTTATTGAAATTCACCATCGGGAGAAAAAGCGGCTTTATCGGCATGAGAAGACCGAGTTGGCGATGTTGATCCTTTCACGCCCAGCCCTACACCTTTAAAGAGATGAGGACGGCATCTGTTGAACCCCCCTTGGGGAGGGGGGGGGTTCAACAGGTTCCGCGGCGAGAGAGGGCGCCCAGGGAAGAGGCGCAGAGACATTTTCTTTCCCGCGCGTAATCGATTGACTTATGCCGCCCCTATCCCTTTAAAGCGGACCACTTGATCGACTGCTCAAACGGTGAATCGGCGCGTACGAATGTTCGGAATGCTCCGGTTGACGGCTAGTTAAACCTGTTGATATTCTTTACCACTCTATCGATAGGCTTTATTTTGCTAATCTTCATGTCTTCCTAGTCATTAAAAGTCTTATATTTTACCGCGTCTGTCGAAAATAGAAGTTTATGCTAATATTTTCGTAGAGATGATTCGCCCCATCATCTCCTTCTTCCCCCGGATAATCACCTTTTCCCCTACATTTTCCTTCATCTCGACCCTAATGGCCTCCCCTCTGGCCCTCTCCGCACTCTGCCTCTTTTCCCCCTCTTCCGTGGTAGTTTTATCAGATAATTGTGCATGACTGCGAAAATAATACAGTGTGTGCCAAAATGATAGGGGAATGAAGTTTTTGGTCGTTTTCTTGGCGGTCCTTTATGTAGCTGTAAAGCCGAATGACAGGCTGTGTAGTCCAGAAAAATGTGCATCTTTTGGTCTACTTGAAATCTTTCTACGATGCAGGATAACAGTTTTACAAGCGATTGAATAAAAATAGGGAAAAACACAAGTGACAATATGATAGGGGAATCATTAACATATCATTTCCATCAATTTTCCGTATCAATAGTGGATGCTAATTAGATGCAAAATTTGCCCGACGACTTCGGGTCAGAATTTTGGCCAGAAGATACGATTTTTACATCTTCTCCCGCTATGAATCTGTAATTAAAATCAATCAACATCCACTATTCATACAGAAAGTTGATAGAAATGATATGTTAAAGGGGCTCCGAAATCTGGTCCACGGCCCCCTGCTGTGATTCCTGGCAAATAGCCAGATGCGGCCGCAACGCGACCGCGTCGCCTGACTATTTACCCCTATTTGGACGCGAAATCACTTGAATTTAAAAATTCGGCTACTATTTTTGGAATCCTCAACGAATTTGGATCATTCCAGACTTTTAGATTATGAAAATTGGCCAGAGAATCACCGAGATCGAGAGTTTGGGTGCCTTACAAGGCATTACGACATGGAATCGCCGCGCACTCAATATGTCGTTTTCGCCCCAAAAAGAATACGGTTTTTCTCAAACATTTTACGTTTTTTCGCAATCAAATCACTTTTCTAGCACTTCTCGGCAGTGACCCTTTCGTTTTTTGACCCAGAGGTTCAATCCCCGCACGCACGGATTTTGACTTCTGAGCCCCTTTAATGATTCCCCTATCATTTTGTCACTTGTGGTATTTGTCTATTTTTATACATTCGCTTCTAAGAACGTGATCTTTTGGCATAAAGAGATTTCAAGTAGATCAAAAGACGCGTGTTTTTTCGGGATATAAGACCTATGATTTTGTTTTTACACGGAAATGGAGAACGGCCGAGAAAACGGCTAAAAACGCCAT